GGATTAATGAGGCTGTACTTGCCCTTGGATAGTTCACAGTCTAATAAGGTACGTAAATAAACGGTTGCAATGTAAACCTTGGAGACAAGGAAGGAAAACTCCTGCTTAGAGAAATGGGGTTGGGGTTGAGAATGAATGCGTCTGCTGATCAGTTTACAGATAGAGAAGCAGAGAGCTGAAGGGAGTTCATACCTGATGAGTTTTTGTGTTTGTTTTTAAATATGTGCAGTAGGAATCTAGGTCATCTCTAAGAATTCTTGGCATGGGGTTGCTCTTGAGAAAAGAAGAACGGTGAAGATCAGGATAATTAAGAAGGAGAATTAGAGATGAGCTAACAAAGACAAGTAAAGGGTGACACGCAGTATTGAGAAAGCAGTGAGACTAAGCCTGAAATTGGATAGATGCAATTGTGGCGGTATCAGCGAGCACAGTGGTGTAATTTTCTCCGGCTGTGCTCTGTGGCCAATGTACAGGTGCAGTAAAGCCATATTGTGGTGAGCGCACATGGGATGGTTATCACAAAAGTATAAAAAGGCCAGGGAGTTAAGAGTCCTTCAAAGAACGTATGGCTTCCTACAGAAGGAAGTGTGGTTAAGAGGAAATTGATAAACTTGAGGAAAGTAAAGAAGTCAAGAAACCGGAGATGAGGATAAGGCCTGATACTTTCTTTGTAGGCTTTTGGCAAATCTTCATTCTCCTCTCCTGGCCTGTTTCCCCACCACCACCACCACCACCACCACCACCTGCCTCTGCTGTGGTTTATACATATGAATAATTTCAAACCATGGTGGTAACAGTTGGTACGGAGGGTAAGATTAGGAGCCAGATTCCAAAGTCCTCATCCAGTGTGTCCCTGGGACTAAGATGCTGGCAGGGCTTGGTGGTTTTGGCCTCTTGGAGAAGCTCAAGGCTTATCCCTTTATCTCCCTGCCACCCATGCTTGAAGGATGGGTCAAAGACGGGTCAAAGGCCAAAGGCATTTTGTTTGGCCATGGTTCTTAGGGCAGGAATTTACTCTGTGATGAGAAGGGTTGAGACTCTAAGCCTTCAAGGCTTACTTCCTTTTATCCATAAAGATACTGACAACCCAAAGGGTCTTCCTCCTCAGAATCTAAAGTTTCTAGTAGAGTTCATA